TGCTGTTCTACTATACCATCAGGAACAGAGGAAGATGAAGAGGACAGAGTTCTCCCAGTGTCCACTGGACTCTGGTGCTGTCGAGATGGAATAAGCCCCCAGAGCCTCTGTCCCCCACCACACTCAACCACAACCTCCAGGCGTGACCTGAGGACCCCACCCGGTGAATGGCAGAGGCAGATTTCAGACAGATGACCATGGAAGGCGACTACTCAAGGGCGACACTGCACAGTAGCCATGTTTCTTTGGCTCTGGCTCAGCTGGGCTGCAGCAGTGGCCAGCCAATGTCGAGAGCAAATCAGCGAGGAGCCCCAAGTAGACCTCCCAGAGGACTAGGCAGAGGGACAGCCACGCCAGGACCACTGCGGCTGCCCTTCCTTTCCTCCCCTCCGTCTTCCTCCCAGCCCAGCCTGGAGCCACAGTGCGCCATGGGCCTGAACCCCAAGAAGGAACCCCATTTCTGGCCAAAGGAACTGGAGAACAGGCCATGGTTGCACGGAAGTTGTGATGGAGACCCCTTGGCTTTTCTTCCTGTTTCCATTCCTGCTTTATTCTGCAGGCTGCTACACTTGTGCTGAGCTGCATGGCTGCAACGGTGGGGGGGATCTGAGGTTTCCAGTCTGGCTGGAGGGTGGGGGACCCCAGGAAAGAACAGGGCCGGGATGTCGGTGTCGCTCCCGGCCGGCAGGAAGAACACGCAACAATATCTGGCGGTGGTCAGGCTTTTCTTTATTCTCTCCTTATACAGTCTGCCCCGAAGCCTCTACCGGTCCGCTCTCCGCGGCTCCTTCTGTGCTTCTTTCTCTACAGTCTGTCCCGAAGCCTCTACCGGTCCGCTCCCCGTGGCTCCTTCCGTGCTTCTTCTCTACAGTCTGTCCCGAAGCCTCTACCGGTCCGCTCTCCGCGGCTCCTTCCGTGCTTCTTCTCTACAGTCTGTCCCGAAGCCTCTACCGGTCCGCTCTCCGCGGCTCCTTCCGTGCTTCTTCTCTACAGTCTGTCCCGAAGCCTCTACCGGTCCGCTCTCCGCGGCTCCTTCCGTGCTTCTTCTCTACAGTCTGTCCCGAAGCCTCTACCGGTCCGCTCTCCGCGGCTCCTTCCGTGCTTCTTCTCTCGTGGCGGGAGAGGCACTCACTTTTATAGGGTTACAGTGGCCAATCAGTTCAAAGCGCGCGATGCGGGCTGATTGGCTAACATCAGTTGTTGCTAGGCAGACTATCTTACAGAGCGGGTTGTTTACCAAGCAGGAAGCAGGAGATAAGCGCCATCTTAGCACACTCGATGGGAGGGGTAATCTAGCTCAGGCTTTGCTCTTTCCTACAGGCCTCACGTCCGCCAAGTAAGGCGACCGGGCTCGGCCGCGGCTCCCAGCACCGGGAGATGGTATGTGTGTGCACGTGTGCACATGCGTTGCATGTGTATGGACAGCAGGCCTTCCACTGAGGGCTCCACCCCTCAGACTGATCCACCATGGATCAAAAACACAAGGGGAAAATCCTGCGTTTGTCTGGAACACACTGGCATCATTTTCCTTGTCACCATTCCATGAACAACTCAGGTACCACTGTGCACACAGCACTTGCATTGTACTAAGTATGACATGTCACCTAGAGAGACCAAAGCAATGGGGAGGTTTCCTGCTCCATCCTAAGCAAGGTGCCTAAGGCTCCGTGGACTCTGGTGTTCAGACAAAGCCAGGACCCGTCATCACCTGTGAGACCAAGAGTTGACTACTATGTACATGGACAGGGAGAGGGGACATTCACCCTGTGACTGGGACACCAAAGAGCCCCCTCCAGTCACTCAAAAGCCAGAGACCCAGAGGCACCAGAGACTGATGTAGCAGAGGAATGAGCTCAGGAACGTGGCCTCACACAACCCTGGGACACAGCATTGTCACCATGACCAGGAACAGAGGGCACAGTGGGGGCCGCCACCACCCCACACTGCCTGGGAACACAGCACAGAGGGCCTAGCCCCCGGGGCTCTGTGGACAGACCCAGGAACAACCAGCCAAGTCACACACCTGTCCTGATCAGGGCTGTCAGGGTCAGCTTCTTACTGTGGGAGAAGGTGGCACAGCTGGGGTGCACCTGCCAGAGCACCCATCGGCCCTGTTCTGCCCACACCCACCACCCACACGCATGCACCAGGCCCAGGAGCCCAGGCCCAGGGGAGGGGAAGACACAGAGATGCAGACACAGACAGGGACAGAGAGACAGAGACCACATGACTCAGGCTGCAGGCATGGGCAGGCTGAGTGCTGTCCAGGAACACTCAAGGGTCCAGCATTCAAGCTTGTCTCTCTCTCTCTCTCTCTCTCTCTCTTTCTCTCTCTCTCTCTCTCTCTCACACACACACACACACACACACACACAACAGGGACTTGGAAGGGCCCACAAATGTGGAAATGGCACTATGGCCCAGCCCCTGCCCTGCCACCTGGCCACCCGCCAAGTGGAACCGCTCCAACAGGGAAAACCCGAAAGAGCCCGGCCTGCTCTGCCCTCCACTGTGCTGTTTTATGTGTTTCCAGCTGCTTGGCGCAGCACCAGGATTTCAAAGACCCATCAGCAAAGGACAATCCTCACGTCTCTGGTTCCCCTGAACCAGCTCCAGCGTCAGGTTCTCTGCCAGAAGGCTACAGGCGCGCGCACACACACACACGCACGCACGCATACATACCAGCTCAGGAGTAGCACAACTGTCACTACTGGCCCTGCGGCAGCCCCCAAGCACACCATGTCCCCATGCCTCAGTCAGTGCCCACCATCCTGAGTGGGCCCGGCACCAGCAGCCCTGTCGCTCCCTTTGCTGTGGCCACCTGGGAAGCTGCCAGGGCAGGACAGTGGGCCTTGGAACGTGCGGGGTTGGGTGGACCACCGACAGGGTGTCCCATCTTTGTGGGGACTTCTCAGACCTGGAGGCACCTGGCTTACCAAGGCTGGGTCCCAGCTAATCCTGCACACTCGGCCACAGACTACCTGCTCACAGCCACACGGGGCCACCACATAGGTCCTCACTCTGGCCCTACCCATGGGACAGGACCCCACGTCCACCTCTCTTCCTCCCTGCCTCACTCTCTTCAGCTTCCTGAGGCCAATCCCTCCACCTCTGCCCTCTCCAAGCAGAGCATGCCTGCAGTGTGGCCCTGGCAGATGCCCAGCCAGCTTCCAAATCTGCAGCCCTACATGCCTAGTGGCCCAGGGCAGGCTCCTTGGGCAACTTGGGCTCCCCAGCACTGGCACAGCCCCTTGCCACAGCCCATCCCCATCTGGACCAGGGCAGGTTGGGTGCTGGCGCCTGGGGCACTCCAAGCAGTGCCTGTGCCAGCCAGTGCTCCGAATTCACCGGCTCACCAAGCACAGGTCAGTGCTAGGGATGGTGGTCCTGGTGCAGAGGGACTGCAGCAGGTCACCGCCCACCCCCACCCTGCCAGGCTGTCTCCTGCGTTCCCTGCCCTCACCCTCTACATATTGGTTCACGGCACCTGCCTTTCCCGGCGGCCCTTGCACCCACACCCCTGCTTCCAGGCGTGCACAGCCCAGCACCAAGCTTAGCACTAAACGGATCCAGTGTTCGGGGTGCACAGGACACCCCATGCCCCGTGCTGAAGCCCTGGGCTTCAGGAAGGAAAACTGGAAGGAAGCTCCCAATTAACTCACCCAGGGCCAACCTTCGAGTGTGCTGCAGGCCTCCCTAGGGAGCAAGGGACAGGTGTGCCCTGAGCCTGGAACCCACACTCTGTCACCAAACTGAGAACACCACGCTTCCTCCATCTCCAAGCCCTTCTCCACACCATGTACCAGGGAAACACGCTTTCACTCAACATTGCCCACTTCACCCATGGGGAAGTCCAGCCCCAGAGGAAGGGACGGAGAAAGTGAGCCACCACATGTGCTGAGCTCTTAAAGGCAGGGACAGCGGGGTGGCAGTGGAGACATGTTCAGGGCTCCTGAACACCAGTTCTCTCCTCACCCTCTCACATCAGCATGCCATCATCCTGCCATCTGGACAAGACGCTTTTGGGGAGAGGAACTATGAAGGAACATGGCACTGGCAGCAGGCACCTCGCAGGGGAAGTGGAAAATTCTGTACTAGGCTGAGCACAGAGCCGCCAGAGAGCTAGGGTGATCTGCCAGGCACTTCCAGGCATAGGCAGGGGGCACAAGCACTGGACCCTGAGACCTGGTAGGGCAGCTAGCTGCAGTGGGAATAGGGACACTGTGGGTCTCTGGTCCCACCGGTGAAGCTGGGTACAAGGGCCTACATGTGGGCCACACTTGGTGGGCCACACTCAGTCTGGGCTGCATGGGCGGGGGGGGCATGGCCAGGTGAACGCATTTCACAGAAGTGTCACCAGAGGACATGGCAGTCCCTTCAGCACTGGGGAACTTCTGGCTCCAGATGTCAGAGGTGTGAGAACAAAGAGGGGCTCCAGGGAAGCTATGCTGACACCAGACATTATCAGAAGGGGAGCTGGAGCCATTCTTAGGGAAAAACCAGGGATGACCTTCAACCAAGACAGACCGAACTGCAGAAAACCAGCACAGCTCTCTAACCAGCAAGACTACAGCAGAGCTGCCAGCAGCCACAGCTTCACAGCAGTGTTAGACTAACCAGGGAGCCCGGCAGGCCCTAGCACACTGCTAGCTTCTATGGCACATGAGCTCCAGATCCCCTTATTGCTGCTACCTGAGAGGCCCACAGAACACTCCTCTGGCCACCCCCCACATGGCCGTCAACAGAGAACCCAAGAGGCCAGAGAACAGGCAGAAAGGTCACAAGACGGAGAGCAACCTGTTCAGGTGAGTACAAGTCTGCAGGGGCGGTTCTCAAGGAGACAACCCTGGTACAGGAGAAGCATGTGGTCACAGGTAGCCACGTATGGTGCAGGAAAAGCAGCAGCCACAGCTCCAGCCAGCTGGGACCAGCCTGGGCTTAGGTTCCCATGCAGTCACACAAGACACAACCAAGAAAAACACTACAGAAAAGAGGGAGAATACAGAATAATTACTTTATTTTATAACAGTAAGTAAATTCCACCACAGAAGAGGGACAACAAGGGACTTTTCACTTAATAAATACAAATGAATAAAAATACTTTGCTTTGTAAAGAGACTGCCTCTCTTCACCCCGAGACCTAGAGGTGCCTCGTCATGGTGTGGCCACTGCATGCGGTGGCTCCCACTGCACGCACAGGCCACTTCCCCAGGCTGCAGCTCCTCATGCCTGGAAATACTGTTGAGTTGTAACAATCTCTCTTCCTGCCCCAGATGCAGTCTCCACACGGAACTTCAGCAGTGAACACCGCCCTTCGAGAGGGAAGGAACTGGCTCCACAGAGCGCCTGAGGAACCTCAGCCCAGGACTTATTCATGCCATGAGACGAGGAGGGGCTGAAAAGGTGGCAGTCTGAGGGCTGCGTCAGCGCAGGGAGAAGGGCAATGTGAAGTGGGCCCAGTGCACATCTCCCGTGCTGTCTCTTATGTTAAAAATAGAAACTCCTATTTAGATCGAACCCGTGTGGAACAGGCCGGGTGTTCGCTCCTGCACGAGACAGGTTCTTTATTGCTTGTGTGAGCCTCCGCCAGGCACAGGGCTGCTCAGCGCCATCCGCTGACAGGGACATTCAGACCACATCAAAGTCACAGACTGCCATGCAGTGGGCTTCCTAGGGCAGCTGCAGTGTACAGGGCAGAACCCTGGAGCTGCTCCGCTTTAGATCAAAGAGCGAAAGCTTTGCAGAATCCAGGAGAAAGCATCACTAAAACTTTAAAGCTCTTCTCAACCTTGCTCTCTAGCGAGCGCCAATAACAAAGACCTGAATACAAGCCCCTAAAATGCAAGCGGAAGAAGCCGTCAGTTTTGTGGCCAGAAGTAACCTTGTATTCCACATCCCTGCTCCTCACAGGTGCATTTTCAAAGCGTCTCCTGGAGGACCTCTAAGTGTCAGAACAAGCCCTGTTGGTAAACACCAGGTGAGAAGGCAGCAAATGCCTCCCAGGGCACAGGACCAGGCACTCCGAGCCTGCAGCCCTGCCCACAGCTTCCTCGAAGGCCACAAGTCTTCGCTAGGAGCCTTGCTGGTATCATAGCCTGAAGGCTGGCCTGTGCCCCAGGACAAGACAGCAGCTGCAGGCCTCACTGCTGAGGAAGGAGAGGTAGTGACGACAGGGCGGACGGCTGACCTGGGCATGAGAGGCGGGGGAGACCTGGGACGCTGCAGCAAGCAGTGAGTTGCTGGTTCCAGAGAAAAGCCTGTCTGGGTGGAAAGGTAAGAGACTACAGGCTGTGGTTCTGTAGGTTGCCTGTTTGGTGCCAGCAAACCACCGTGTGCTACCATGTGCACAGGAGCAGGTACAGCTGCTCCGGGGTGAGTGCGTGCGTACGCCTGAGCCCGGGCACAGCCTCACAGCCCTAGGGACTTCTGGACAATCCGCTTGGCAATCTTGTAGAACTGCTCACGGTCGTCCCGCCACATTTTAGAAGCATCTACATTAGCGCCACTCTCGTCATTGGGTTCTGAAAGACAAGGGAGGGTATGACATGCTGGGGACCCTCCAGGAGCTATACCAGGAACACACAGAGCCTTCTCATCTGTCCTTGCAGGGAGGCCAAGATCATGTGCAGGTGGCGATGGGAGGGAGGCGCACGACCTGCATAGCGGGCACTGGGACAGCTCTCCTACTGCTGGGGACAGGGCAGCTCAACTGGTAGGTGGGTGCACGCTCAACCCCGCTCACCCACTCTTGGCTGGGCTCCCGACTGCTGACTCCTGGCCCACAAGGCCTGGGTCCTCCTCATATCACCCCACCCTCTCAAGTGCTGCAGGCGTGGTCCTCCTGAGGCACAGTCAGCAGCACTGTGCCCACTGGGATGCCCATGGACGTCCAGGCCACCGGAGACCCCTCCTCCAGACTTGGCTCCTTAGACCTGGCAGAGCTCCACCAGCTCAGCCACTGCCACCCTGGCCCAGCTGCTCCCTCTACCCCAGATGCCTTTTCCTCACTCCTCCCCTAACTCCTGCTATCCTCAACTCATCTCGGAAGTGGCCTGGAAGCCTGCTGTGGTTCACCACACTGGCCTTTAGCTGTTGTGGATTTGCAATGTTCTCCCAGAATGTGGGGCTTCAAAGCGTGGGCCTCTGTCACAGTGGCTTTATACCCAGTGTGGCGTGACACACAGAGGGATCCCAGTGAATGCCTGAATGAACAAGATGCCCGTGAATTAGGGAATGGTCCATCATAGGCCACAGTGTGCTATGCAACACCAGACTGTCTTTAGAATTTGTAACTAGGAAAAGTACGTTTACATTTGGAAAAGTGGAGACAAGCAGCATAAATTAAAATAATATCCGTAGGTTAATGACAAAGAATGAAAACCAGAAAGGGCTGCACAAGGGACTCCCAGGTATGGGCCAGCCTACCCGCCAGCATGCTCACGACCGACAGTAGGATCTTCTCCACGCTCTGCACAGGGCTCCATCTCTCGGCACTGCTCTCGTAGCCCATGGGATCGTCACCTGGTGCATGGAGGATGGAGATGCAGACTCTGCCATCAGGATAGACTGCAAGGATCAGAGGCAGCCAGGTGAGCCGCAAATGGTGCCTGGTGACAGTGCAGGGGCAGGTTCCACAAGAGTCAGGCTTACATCTGTACCATCCTGGTGTGCTACAAGCTGGCCCGGCCTGCCTGTCTCCCAGAATCCTGTGTGCCTGCTGACAGAGATTCCAGGCTGGCCTATGCAGCTCTGACCAGCCCTGAAAGGATCCCCTTTCTAACAGAAGTACTTATGCATTTCCTCCGAAAGAAAATGAATGAAAGGTGACCTGTAGCGAGCTCCCCAAAATCACAGTTGCTCCAAACACTTTCCCAGCCAGCTTGTACAGACACTCCTAATTCTACTATTAGAGGCCTAAACTTGACTGAGTAAAATACATGTTCACATGACTAGGACAAAGGCGATTGGATTATTTCACTATCCAGACAAAGAACAGCACTGCTCTAATGGAAAACTCAGCACCCCAGCTACCTGGAGGTCACTGGATCCCGGTTTAACCCCTCACACCAGGTGACAGCAGCAAGGCCAGAAGCTAGGAGCCTGGCTCTGCTCCTCTCCCCTGGCTTCATAGCAGACCCCCAGGACAGCCGCCAGTAGGCAGGGTGACCCCGCTGCTCCCGCAGGTGACCAGCACTCACCACCTGGCAGGGGCCCTGGCCCTCCAAATGGCTTGGGATTAACCTAGGCGGCTCCTGTAGCAGTGGCCGCCCTGCCCTCGGACAGGCTGGGTCACCGCTGCAACCAGCAGCCCCAGGAAAGGTGCTTCTTTTAAGTTTTTACTGACTGGATGCTATTTGTGAAGTTGTGGACTACAAAATAGTACTCAAAATTCACTTTTATAAAACATCCATTTACAGTAAGGCAAAATTTAAAAGCTGGTTAATTGTCTGGACATTAAAAACATTTACTGGGTGTACAGCTGAGTGGCAGAGGCCTTGCTTAGTCTATGCAAGGCCAGAGAGTCTGTCCTCAGCACCACAAAAAGCAGTAGTGATAATTACTCTCTACTGCTAAAAGCCTAGATCAAGTCCAATTTTTCTACCATGGAAAATGCACTGTAAGGAGGGCCAGTTCAGCCTAGTGAGCCCAGGCCAGGCCTAAAACTCCTGAGCAACCACTGAAGCAGGGTGACCGGGCCAGTTTCCTTCATCCACAGTAAGGTGACCTTCACAACTGCAGCCATGGTGGTAATGCCAGTTACTCTGCCACAGTTCAAAAGCTTACAAACTTGTCTTAGAAGTCTGTGTCCTGACACAGTGCACTCCACACAGGTATAACCTGTCTCTCCTGGTGACATGGTTGTGACACAGAAGCCACGAGATGGACAAAGAACAAGCAAGCTCCTGGGCTCTTAGCCTCTCGTTTATCAAAAGCATGGTTTGCATTCTCCCGTGAGGCAGACAGGGTCTCAGAAATGGTTTCGGCCAACAATGACTCTTTCCTTAGGCCTCCAGATGCCCAGAATCAGACTCTCAGCTCTGTGCACAGACACATCTGTCACCTAAGGAACATCTTTTTAAAGGCTGGCAAGACCAGAACAGAGAAAATGACCAGCTGGACCCTGGACAACTGGCCTATCCATCGTGTGGGTGGCCCAAGCCAGGGCAAGCCCTGCCCGTCCCTGTGTACAGACAGTCCTTGTGACCAAACTGCTGGATGTTTGGCAGAGCTGTGCTCTGCCTCCTCTTTCTCTGGTTTTCATTTCCACTGTCACTAAAGCAGGACCCATGCTAGCTGGGGACACTGGGCCCACAGCCCAGGCACAGAAGCACTCACTGTTGGGGTGAAACATCTCGCAGGTGAAGCGCATCTTTGGAGGACTCAATGGGTAATCCAATGGGAAGCTCAGGATGGCAGGAAAAACACCAAACTCAAAGCAGGTATCTTCGGGGCCCCTGGAAGACAGGGAGTGGGTAGACAGAAGCTCAAGTACAATCTGCAGTGTCACTCAATTCTCAGGCGATAGCATGCGTCTATCTCTAAATGGTCATAAAAAGGTGAAACAATCTCAGCAGTTTCCTCCACCCAGCAAGAAAGCCCCTCTCTGCCATTCCAGCTCAGGCCAGTGCAGAGACCCAGTGACACTCACAAAAGCAGCAGGCGGCAGCAGGTCCCAGGGGAGTCCACACCTCCAGACAGGTGGTGTGAGGGTACAGGTGTGAATTAGGACTGGCAGCCAGCTAGAATCTATGACACACAAATGCTGGGTGAAGAAGTACACTCAAAGGCTATTTAACCTTTTTGAACATGCCTAAGAAGTGACTTTTGTAATGTTATGTAAGAAGTACATAACACTCAGTGAGGCTGAGGCAGGAAAATTTCAACTTTGAACCCAGCCTGGGCAACTTTAGGACTGAGACCTTGTTTCCAAAAAAAAAAAAAAAGGGTTGGAGAGAGCTCTGTGTGAGGGCCCTGACGGAATAGGGAACCAAAACAGGAGCAAGGGGAAGGGGAAGGGGGAGGAAGGCAGGCAGGGAGCAGCAGCAGATGGAAGACCACCGCAACACCTTGCTCCCTCAGGGCAAAAGGCCAGGCTGCAAGCACCCATCAACCACACTGCAGGAGCCAGGGCCCACAGCCCTCACCAACACACTCCACCCACCCCAGGAACCACGTCCTCTCACACCAACAGCACAGAAGGACTAAAGCAGCTCAGAGGTCTCCTGGAGAGTTAATGCCCTCTATGGTGGCCAAAACCTGACAGCAGCAGGAGAGGGGAAGAACGATGGCCACCAGCCTCAATCTCAGAGAGACACCAACCCCTCACTACCAAAACAGGTTACAGCTCGGCTCTAGAACGTCTCTGATGTCCTCCATGTTCATGAGGGGGCGTCTGGAAGGTGACCGGGTCAAAGGCGCACCACTGTATCCATGGATGGGCTCATAGCTGACTGCGCTGCTGGAAGTGGTGCCTGGCTGGAGCCAGTCAGTAGGTGCATGACCTGGAAGGGTGTGTTCTACCCCACTCCTCCTCTGCCTGCAGGCTGTGTCTCTCTCTGTCCTGTCTCTCCTTCCATGAGGCCATAGGTTGGGCAGCTTTCCTCCACCATGTCCCCCACACCATTTCTGCCTTGTGGCCAGCCAACCATGGACTGAGCGCTCAGACACATGAGCCAAGATAAACCTCTCCTTTAAATTGCTGGCACCTTTTGTCCCAGAAACAAGGAATGCAGTGCACATCAGAGTAGCTTTAAAGACCCTGACAATCTTTATTATGTGAACTGGGTACAATGCAGAACTGCCCAGTGACAGCTAGATGTGGAGGAGGAGAAATCACTGTGGGCATGGAGTATGGTGGTGGTGCACACCCATAATCACAGCACCTTGGAAGGCTGAGGCAGGAGGATCAGACAAATTCAAGGTCAGCCTAAACTACATAGCCAGACCATGTCTCTAAAGAACCCAAAAAGAAATCAATCAATCACGATGGGAACGTGCAGACCAGCGACAAAGGAGAAAGAAACCACATGGGAGATCAGAGCTCCCCCACCCCCAGCTCTGCTTCCTTAAAGAATCCCATACCTGGGGCCCAGACCTGGATGCCCAGAGGGATCCACCAGCCCTGCTGCTCTTATGGCTCAAGAAAGTTACCCATGGGACACTGAGATTTCAGGAGTAAGTGAGGTTTACTTCAAACTGCTTGGTCAGTGAGCTCAGGCCACTGCTGGCATTGGCACTGATTCCTTTGTTCCCTTCTAGATTCACAACGTCAAGGGGCTTCCATCCTTTTGCAGCACTGTCACTGCTCTGGAATGTCACAAGACCTTCTTACACGTCTGGTTAACTGACACCCACTGTGGGCACCAGGCAGCTTGGTCGCCTTGAGAGAAACTGTCTGCTTCTTTCTGTAGTTTTCATGGCCTATTAAGGGAGAAGGGGAGGCTTGTGGGGATCTGACTGCAGTTCACTGGCTGTCTGAGTCTAACAGCTAACTAAGTGTCTAGACTATAATCCATAGACCATAAAATAAGTGATGCTTTCAAGACTAGGGTTTGGGGGCTGGAGATTTAGCTCAGCAGCATAAGCACCTGCGTTGCAAGCAGGCAGTCGTGAGTTCGATCCCTGGTACCAATAAAAAGGAAAAAGGCAAAAAAAAAAGAAAAAAGAAAAAAAAAAGACTAGGGTTTGGGGGGGGTTCCAAAGAGAAAATGAAAAAGAAAAAGAAAGTAAATAGTGGGGGCTACAAATACCCTCACAATGCCACCCACCAGGTGAACCCAAGACGTGGCCTGGGAAAACAGCTCGGAAACAGGTTCTGAGATCATCTGTACTTTAAACCACAGATTTTTTAGGAGCACAAACTTATTTAAAATCTTGATGCAATTATTTTGGTTCCATGAAATTAACATGAATTAGCAAAATATTCATCTCTACAATTAAGGGAAGAAGACAAAGCTCTAACTGCTCTGGTGGGGACTCCGGGCTTTTAGGAGAAAAGGTGGTGTGACAGAGCTGGCTCTTCTCACTCTCGGACACAAACCCCAACCCTGCTACTTTCGGGGAATGACCATGAACAGCATCTGGGTTTGGAGGGGTGAACATTACTGCACAACAGTGCCAGAGTGTAGGGAGCCTGGGGCAGGGACACTAGGTGAGGAGGCCAACGAGGTAGCAAGGGGCTCTCACCATGGCACAACCCCATGGCAGGGCCTCGGGGTGAGAGCACAGGAGATGCCTCAGGCTTGCTCATGCCTATTCTTCCTGAAGTGGCTTACATGACCTCTCCCTGGCTGTCCTGCACCAGAACTCACAGCAAGGGACAAATGTGCCCGCTGTGCCTCTCCTGACTGCCACTGCCATTTCACTGCTGGGAAACCAACGCAAGGACTCACTGACTGCGTCCAGACCTATGTGGGTCAGAACATGATTCACTGTGGAAGCAGGTGGCTGGGCAGCCAAGGCCCGTCTACAGAAGTCACCCCTTCACCACGCGAGGACAGGTTCCAGGGCCCAAGCTTGCTGGCACCTCTGAATCTAGGATCGGGAAAAATGCAGGGTAGCATCTTCCGAATAAGCCACAAAGATATTTGCTCAATGCTGGAATAGCAAGCCTTCGTTTCCCACAACAGGGCTTTCTTTAAAAGCAAAGACACCCATTGATGTTTCGTAGCCTGACCAAACACTTCCTGAAGTATGCCCACATCTCCAATAACACAGCTACCTGCAAATGCTTGGGGTCGCTACCCCTCCCAGGCCGGGACAAGTGTCAGGCAGCAGACTGCAGGAGCATGCCTGAAGATGTGCGCACACTGCTGGAGAGCCTCTGTCTGCACAGGGATGAGGGAGCACTGCCATGGATGAGCTGCTGCCACACTTCTAAACTACCTTGCCTTTCCCAGAGTCTCAGTCCCTGGTTCAAGAGTCTCAGAAAGAAGAAAAGCAAGAAAGGAAACAAAACAGATCTACCCAAAACAACTACGAATCCCCAAAGGCCACAAACAACTTTCCGTCTCTCTCAGCCCACAGCGGCCTGGTTCCTCCAGCTCCAGTGAGGACTGAAGCAAGCGCTACCACATGGCGGCACCGTGACCAGATGTACCTTGTGTGTAAATCCTGGGTGAACCCGCTCACTCCTACAATGGCTGAGACATGAAAGAGGTCTTGCCTGCTAGTGACTGCTAGCCCTGTCCATCCTGACCCTGAGCTGCCCTCCTTGCCACCTCAACAAGTTCAAAGCACACGAGGGAGTGTGGGGTACCATGCCCAGGGGCAAAGGGCCGCTCTCCATCAGTGTGCACACGACCCCAGAGCAGCACAGCGCGGCAGGGACAGGACATCTCCACAGGTATTGAACAGTGGAGACAGTAGTGCACTCATTAGCGCTTAGAACCTCATCTGCATGCACCCCTGAGGACACCTGCTTCCCAGGTGGAAGCCTGAAAAGTACACAAAGCAGACAGGATGCTTCCATACCACATCACACCACACCTGCAGGACCCGCCTGGGATCGGGCTTGGTCTCCTGCTCACCTACTAGCAGGGGCTCCTGGCAGCAAGTGTTAATTGGAACTGGCCAGGGAGGCTCCTGCTCCCACAGTGCGACACCCTCCAGGCAAGGACACTGAGAGTGGAGAGGGCCTCCTGTACTGTGGCTGAAGCGGCACACAAGAGGACAGAGGAGGCACCCCTGCGCTCTGCAGTGTCTGAGGCCACCAGGTGATTCCCATGGGGCCCAATGCGAAGAGCCAGGAGGCAGCCTTCATTTCAGGAGGCAGCAGTGGTAACAAATGCAAGTTCCATGCCATTACTGTCGTTTTCACTATTAAATCTGCCCAGAAGGAGTCACACCCACACCCTGTTTTCTGCAATAGAGACATCCCCGGAAAGCTTTCTGTTTGAGCTGTACTTACCTACATGTAAAACATACTGAGCAAGTCCATCAGTTACAAGAACTCATGGTGAATTCCAACAGTCAGCTTTCTAACACACACTTTGACCCCACTTAAATAGTAAAATGTACTGGAAGTCTCAGAAGAAATAAAAACATGTTGAAAAAGTATATAAAATAAGGAGCAACACCTCCCCACCCACTGTCTGCGTCACCTCCCAGAGGAACATTCTTCCAGGTGCTCTCCCACATACACACAAACACTTTACTAACACTTGCTACTAGCACTAACACTTTACTGTATTTTAACATTACATCATGGTGCTGGGCGAGGTGGCACACGTCTGTAACCCTAGCACTTGGGAGCCTAAGACAGGGGGATTACCATGAGTTCCAGGCCTGCCTGAGCCTCACAGTGAGACTCCACCTCAAAAACAAAAAGAAAATTTATATCATGGTGAGCCTAACATGGTCACTCACACCTGTAATCCCATTACTCAGGAGGCTAAGGCAAGTAAATAGAAGTTCATGGCCAGCCTGGGCTACATAGTGAGTTCATTCAAAACTA